TGAATGGGTGGATGAATGAGTGAATGGGTGGATGAATGAGTGAATGGGTGGATGAATGAGTGAATGGGTCGGTGAATGAATGGGTGGATGAGTGGATGAGGAGCCCAAGCCAGCAGCTGTCTTGCTTTGTCCCCACTGGACAAGGGCTTATCCCCATACCCAGGTGCCGAGAGCAGAGGTGCCCTGAGTACCGAGGCTGTTTCAAGCCTCTCCTCCTTCCCTCCTTCCAGATCCTCAGGCCTCCCCTGAGGGGGGCTCTGGCCAGGATGCTGCCCTGAGAGCCAACCTGAAGATGAAGCGGGGTGGCCCCCAACCTGATGGTGCCCTGGCTGCCCTGCTGGGTCCTGAGCCCGCACAGAAGAGCGCCGGCCAGGCCAGCAGCAGGAAGTGAGGGCCGGATCTCCAGGGTGAGCCCAGACCTGGCAAAAGACCCTGCCTGGGCAGTACTGCCACTGGACCTGGAGGAGGCCCATTTGGGACACAGCTTCAGCCTGGACAATTGTGAAGGACACTAGCTCCTGGGCTTGGGGGGTTTTAGGGGCAGATGGATGGCCCCACCTCCAGGCCAGGCTCCAAGGGGACTGGCACCCTTGGCAGAGCCCTTTCCTTGCCCTGTCCACCCCTACTCTAGTCCCTGCTGGAGACGGGGTCTGGGTGGGCTGGGTGTCGGCTGAGAATAACCATAATCCTCGTCATTTAGAGTCCTCGTGGCATCTGGGCCCATCCAGGGAGCATTCCTTATGCTGTCTCATTTAACCTGTAGGAGGTAGGCTTGTTATCCCCACTTGATGCGGGGACTGGGGCTCAGAGAGCATAAATAATCCACCAGATTATTTGGTGCCCAGGATCACAGGGGCCGGGGCAGGATTTGAACCCTGGCCTCTTGGGTCCCGGTGTCCTGTGCCCTGGACACCACCAGTTTCTTCCCTTTCATGAGGAAGCAGACAAGAGGGTGTAGGCGGTGCCAGAGGATGTGGGATCGACCTGGCGTGGAGCTCACAGGGCCCCGGGTCTCCCTTCACCCCCTGCGGGACAGGGCTTCTCTGGCTGCAGAGGGGCAGGGGGCTGGCCTGAGGCTGCTCTCTGAGGCCAGGGAGACCTGAGTACACCCCTGACTGTCACATGGACTTGGGGACCATGAGGTGGCAATGTGAAGGCCTCTGGACCTGACTGGCATTGCCCGCTTCTCCCTCCCAGTCCCTCTGAGCCCACCCACACCCCTACCAAGCCCCTCCACCCACCAAGGCAGGAGGGCACATTCAGCAGGGCTGCCCATCGGTGGGGGGCACAAAGCCCCACTCTGCCCTGTCTCTATTTGAGATCTCTAGGGCCCGTCACTTCTGGGGTACATGGCACACTGGAGAGAGGGCAGCTGCCCGGGGCCCAGGCCTGCTGGGAGACGATGCCCGCAGCCCTCGCAGCTGGGGTTCTGGGCAGAGGCCGGCAAGGTCCAGGCGGCCCAGAGCAGCTCAGACCACAGCCCTTGAGGCGTCTCAGTCCCCAGATCTCTGTTACCAATGTTCCTCTCTCACTGGGCCAGGTCCCAGGACTCAGCAACGACAGAAACTCAGAGACTTGAAGGTGCTGGCACCACCCGGTGGCCATCTCCACACATGGCAGGGCTGGCCACCCGGCGCCCTTGGCGCTTGCACAAGTCTGCGGCTGGGTCCCGCTGGGCCCAGATGCCCCTCCTGAGGCAGGTGTGCTCGTCCTCACGGAGGGGCGCTCGAGACCTGTGACATTGTTCTTGTATCTGACAATAAAGGTGCTCTCCCTCCCCACTGCATCTCTTTTTGGGAGGCCGGGCTGCATCCTGCTGACCCGGATGCCCTGGGCAGCTCCTGCCAGGCCGGGATGGCTGTAAGGCCTCAGAGGTAAATAGTCCAGGGTGGAGGCTGGAAGGGACCCCCACAGAGGCTGCGCCTCCCACAGCAGTGCTGCATCTGCAGCGTTGAGGGAGGAGAGCTCAATTGGGGGACCCCTGGGCTCTGGGCTCGGAGACCCCTACCTTGCCACAAGTTCCCCTCCCTGGCGTTCAAGGGAAGCCCAGGGGACAGGGCTGAGCCCAGAGTGGCTGCTGAATCACCCTGGACCTTTGTGTGAGCAGAATACTTGCCGTGCTCCCTAGGCCTTCCCCAAACCCAAGCCCAGCCTCTGCTGGAGCTCGAAAGCCAGTAGAGAAGATGGACTTTAGACCAAGTACACGGCTGATGGCATGGGGGAAGGGGACTGTGGGCCACTCCAGGAACCCAGGATCAGGGACTGAGATAGGGGAAAGAGGGAGACACAGGCAGACTCAGGAGACGCAGACATTGCCTAGGGCTTCTTCCTGCCTTTATTTGCTTGTGAATGTTGGATGCCAGCCCTCTCACACTCCTGCTGGCCCGGGACTCCTCCATCCACGTGGGGCCTGCCCCTGCTGGCAGCTGCCTCAGCTACCAGGAGACCCAGGGTGGGGCAGGTGCCTGAAGCCCAACCTTGGCAGGGACAGCCAGGCCGGGAATGTGACGTGCTCTGCAGGAGAATAGTCCTTGGCCCTTATTCCTTTCCCAGGGCAGGTGTTCATGACAGCACACATCCTCCCTCCCTTCTTTCCTGGAATGTGTCTGCGCTAGCACCTTAGTAGACTCAGGCCCTGGGAACTTCAGCGAATGAAGCAGAATGAGTGAATGAATGAGAGAATGGATGAATGAATGAGGATCTCAGCGCATACAAAGCTGGCAAACGCGGAAAGGGGCTGAGGCTCAGGGAGCGGGGACTGGTTCTGGCTGTCACCTTCCAGCATAAAACTCTGAGAGGTGATGGCTTGAAGTGAAAGCTGGCTGCCACGTCCTTCTGAAGGGGTGTTTGCCATAGAAGGGGGATATTTCACGTACCAGCCAGTGAGCACAGTGGTGACTTGTAAATACTTAGGCCTGTGGGTGCTGCCGTCTGTGCCCTGAGATGGAACCACGCAGCGGCCCCAGACAGCCCTGCGTGGGGGACAGCGGGCCCAGATAGTCTCAGACCGCAAGCCAGAGCCACCAGGGGCTGATGGGGCAGGGGGCAGGAGCTCCCACCAGCAGGGTGGACAGGCTCCATCCGAAGTGTGTCAGGTAGGGCCCTGGGGGCAGGCAGGCGCTGTCCCCAAGAGCTGGGCTGGGGCACAGAGTCCGTCTAAGGAGGTAGACATGAGCTCGTCATCCTAATAAGGATAGGATCGGGCATCGTGCCACACACATGGTGACATGAACCGCCACCTCCCTCCACTTCACTGCCACCTGTCTCAATGTGCGGTGAGTCAGCGGAGCCCCCGGGAGGCTGAGTGGCTTTGCCTGAGGTCACACAGCCGGTTGAGGAACAGAGCAGGTTCGGGAGGGGTAGAAGGGATTCTCATAGGACATGAAAGCTGCTGCCCAGTGGGGGTTGTGGTGGACCCCAAACACTGGAGAGGAGGAAGCTGATCCTGAGCGACAGACAAAGCCTGACATCTCCTTCCACCTGGCTTGTAGAAGGAGATTTCTGAAATACAAGCATCCCTCACTCACCAGACTGCTGTGGCTCCCATGTTCCTGGCCTTGGCTTTATCTTGGTTCTGTCATGGGGTCTTGGCTGGGAGTTTCCTCCTGGCCAGGCTTGTCTCTGGGTAGCCGGTGTGCTGGCTTTCAGATACAGGGAGATGCCAGGTGCTCTCGGCAGATGGAGCAAGCGGGTAGGGAAGGGCCTGGCACAATCTGGCACTCACAGCTCTGAAGGAGCACAGCTGTGGGCCTTGTGGGAACTCATCAGCACTCTACCTCTCTGACCCCCAAGGCCAAAGGATAGGCTGGGCCCATCCAGTCCTTGGTTCTGTGCTGCACCAAGAGGGACCTTGCAGAGGAGCTGTGGACACCCTCCCCTGCCCAATCTGAGCTCAGTCTGCAAGGCCCAAGCCTCAGGGTGTGAAGCGAATCACACAGAACTGGTCTCCTGGTCTCCAGCATCATCTGCCCCTCACTCCACCCCACCCTGCCCATGGTGCCCGCCCAGACTCATCTCTGGTGGGCTCTCGGCGGCTCCCCGCACCGTTGGAGTGAATCTCCCCGCTCCGTGCTGCTTCTGGCACGCTCCACCTGTGTCCACGGGGAGCCAGACATTCCTCCCCAAATACCACACCATGCCAGTCTGCTGATGGGTGTGTATGTGTGCAAGAGCGTGTGTTTGTGTGTGCATGTGTAGGTGAGCTCCAGAGAGAGCAGTGGGGACCTGGCTGACATCAGGCTCCTTCCCCAGGGCCCTGAGCTCGAGCCCAGTCGTGGTCCTGGCCTGGGGCAGGGCCCTCCATCCATACCGCATCTGTCCAGCTGAGCCCAGGAAGGTGCGGGCTCAAGTTGGGCCTGACCTGGGGACCGTCCTCTCCCCTGCACAGTGGGAAGTGCTGAGGGTCCCCTGGCAGACAGGGCAGAGGGGGACCCGCCTACTTGACCTGCAACCAGTGGTCCCTGCCTGTCCCGCCATAGTCAGCCACCAGCCACAGCGGCTGGGGGACAGGGGAGGGGGATGGGCCGTACTGGCCTCCGGGGGGTTCTCGCCTGTGTCCCCTCCCCCTGCCTGCCTCACAAGGTGAGCAACCAGTGTGGCCCTGGGTCCCAGCTAAGGGTCATCAAGATGCCATACGGATCTCCAGACTGAGGGATCCAGGGAGGCCCTCCGTTCTGTGTCACGTTCACATCCCCAGCACCCAGCCTGGGTCAGACATGGGGTTCGAGTCGCGGGCACCTGAGGAACAGGACATTGGCGGGCGTGGGGGGGGGGCTCCTTCCCAGACCCTGAAAGGTGGTGACTATGGTGGCCAACAGGGGGACCAAGGCCAATGGCGGGTGAGCGGAGCCGAGACCCCTCCTCCCCACAGGCGGGCAACTCCACACCTGCGAGTCCAGCCCCACATCTCTGCAGCGCCTCTCCCAGACCTGCTTTATGGATTATAAAATGAGAGTTTCATGAGGTTTTCAATTAATTGAATTCCAGGGAGATTTATTTACAATGTTGTTAATAAATTCTGATGTCACCTATAATTTTCAATTGCCAGTTAATTAACTTGCAATTGGTGCGGTGTAAAAGGCAAATTTAATTCTCTTTGCAGGCAGGGGTTGGAGCAGCTAATGAACCTGTCAGTGTGGCCTAAGGGAGACTGGTGGGCTCGCAGGTCCCCTGTCTCCGGGAGATGAGCTATGACATGGGTGGGTGACGTTCCAAGTATAAGGGGGTCACAGAGCCATTTTCTACAGCCCTCAGGGACCTGGGCTTGATACTGGGTTTTCTTCATAGAGAAACACAATAAAAGGCCCAGTCATAATTAATTTTATGTGTCATCTTCATGGGCCAAGTACCTGGATAATTTGATTGAATATTGTTCTCGGTGTGTCTGTGAGGGTGTGTCTGGGTGATAGTTGAACCAGCCGCTGAGGCAAGTGGATGGCCCTTTCTAATGTGGGTGGGCCTGGCCCAATCAGTTGAAGGCCTGGTTAGCCTCAAAGGCTGAATGAGTGGGGAACTCTTGCCTGACTGTCCCAGCTGGGACACCACTTTTTCCTACCTTTGGACTCAAACAGAACTGTGGCTCTTGGAGCGCAAGTCAGCTTTCAGGTTAGAATTTGCACCACAGGTTTTCCTGAGTCACCCTCCAATGCCTTGCACAAATCTGTGTGTGTGTGTGTGTGTGTATGTGTGTGTGTGTGCACATGTGCACATGTGTATATCCATTTCTTTGACTAATAGGCCCCAAGTGTGGCCCAGGGTCAGGAATCCTGGCTTTGATATGTGGGCCACACCCTCTGGTGGCTCTCGTGGAGAAAATATTCCTTGTCCCTTCCTGCTTTGTAGGCTCCAGGCGGCCTGGCCTGGCAGCTGCACCACCCCCGTCTCTGGCTATGTCTTCACATGGCTTCTCTTCTATGTCTGTCCCCTCCTCTGTGTGTTTTTTATAAGGACACTTGCCGTTGGATGCTGGGCCCACTTGGAGGACTTTGTCTCAAGACCCTTAACCAAATGATACCCGTGTAAGGTCCCATTCCAGATAAGGTCCCATTCACGGGCATGAGTGGCCAGCTCGTTGCCATGTGTTTTGGACACAGTGGTGACCTTGGACAAGCCATTGACCCTCTCTGGGCTCCTATTTCAGCTGAGTAAAGCAAAGAGCCACTCCATGAACCCAGGCTGGGCGGCTCCAAACCCTTCCCGGGTGCCGACTCTGGTGTCCTCGCTGCCTGACAGAGCAAGTCCTACATCCAGCAGCTGTGCTCTGCAGGTGACCATCGGAGGTGCAGGGAGGTTCGGTGGGTGTCCAGGTTTGCAGAGCTACTAAGTGGCAGAGCCAGGATTTGGTCCTGGAGCCTGCATTCGGTTTTAAAACACTGAGCTAAATTTTCTGTACCATTCTATTCGCCTCTTTCAAATCACAGTTCAGTGCCTCCTGGTGTATTCACAGGGCTGTGCTGCTGTCACCACCATAGATTTTAGAAGACTTTCATCACACCAAAAGCAGCCCTGTCCCTCCAGCAATACTAAAAGGCGCATCCCCCTCCTCCTAGCCCTAGGGAATCACTCATCTGGCTCTGTGGACTTACCCTATCCGGACCTTTCATAGACATTGAATCAGGCTTCGTGTGACCCTCAGAGCCTGTCTTCTTTCCCTGGCCCCGTGTGTCCTAACCTCCCCATGCTGTGACCTCCTTCCGCAGTAAGGCCTGATAGGTGCCTTACCCCTGACCACTACACTGACCTGCAAGGTCTCCTGCAACCCTCAAAGCCTTTCTG